GAGATTTCGTCAGACACCAACCCATTAGGGTTGATCAGGCTTCCAAGATAAGTGAAGTTGTCAACGCGTTCGACTACTTCACTCCCTATCCTTAGTTCAGGTGTTGATGCAGACCAGTCCTGAAGCAACAACTTGCATTTAGAGGAAGAGAAGCGCATTCCAAGAATTCTGGCATTGTTGCTTAGTGCTACCAAAAGACTCTGCATCTTATCAGCGTCTTCACCAAACAGGACTATGTCATCTACGTATTCTAAGTCGATAAGTAGACCACCTGGTAGGAGATCGATTCCTGAAAATTCGGTCGAAGAGGACGTTATTTCTAGCAGTCGGCTTGTGATGAAATTAAACAAAAATGGAGATAGTGGACAGCCTTGTCTGACACCACTTTAGTTTGTAAAGTCAGATTACAGTTCGCTGTAACCTCCGACTCGACTGTTTGGGAATGGGTAGTTGTAAAGTAGCTGAAGACCGGCTGAATCGTTCCTTAAAATGTTCTGTCTATCGTCCTAAACTTCTGGACTGGAAGCAGATAAGTGTCGTATTTTTCCGAAATAGTCTCACTTACACTTGACTTCTTAATTTGAGTTTCTTTCATTAGTCCGAAAAGCTGTCTTGCGTTACCTACAATCGCTGCCTTTTCTGTCTCTTTTGCTTTCGTTGCCCACCACTACCCACAGTCGTTCCTTAGACTTTTGTTTAAGCTAGATCTGATTTGTTTTCGTTCTTCATAGTGTTCAGAGCCTGATGGGATGAGTTTACGAGAATCCATCAGTGCAATAGACTTAGAAGAAATCCATTGGTTCTTTGTAACCCTGTGGTTTAAATCACTAACAGATGTCACTGCTGTTTCCACAGCTGCTTTTATATCTTTTCAAGCAACATATGGGTCAGTCTCGTTTTCAGAACTACCTAATTGTGACCTCAGTTGTTCCTGGAACCTACTTTTGGTTTTCTCATTACTCAATTCAATTCTAATGGGTCTTTTTACTGTGGATTTTCCGCGTCCAGTGAGGTGCAAGCAGATGCGTGCCCGTATTAGAGGATGGTCGGAGTTCAAGCAGGTATTCCAGAATGAGCAACAAACTTCTGTCGAGCCTCTCCAACGATGACTGATGTCAATATAGTCTATTTGATTCCATCGTTGGTTTCGTGCAAGTGGTCGTAATGTTAGACGATGTCTCATATTATGCTTTAAATTAGTTTGCTAAAAATAAACGATTGTCTGAGCATAGCTTCAGCAGACGATCACCACTATCTGTTTGCTGAGCCGCAATACCCGCCTAAATGTCGTTCTGCTTGGTTCAAGCTACCTACTTGGACATTAAAGTCGCCTGCTACGAGTACTATGTTTGAGAGTCTAGCTTTTTGAAAAGTTCAGAAAGCTTCACGTAAAATTCATCTTTCACTTCCTCCGGGCTGCAATCAGTCGGAGAGTAGGCTGAACCGACGAAAAGGCAATGACGTGTGTCCCCATCCTTTTGAGTTCTCATGGAGCCGTCTACCCAAGCAGCATATATGCGACTGTTAACAAGGAAACATTCCAAAAGTACTTGCTTTACCATCATACTTAGTGCTATGCCTATACCCGCCAGTCCACCAGAACTAAACGTCGGGTCGCCAGATAAACGGAGGTTGTGTCTCATCGGCTCCCCGTTTTGGCGAGGTGAGGCCAAGTGAATGACCACATTAGGATCCTATATATGTGTTTGGGAAACACACTACTGCCGTCACACCCCTGTACAGTCAGCAGTACAACTTAACCTTCGAACCTTGGGTTTGCTGCTTTTAGTGTTAACGTTCCTCAACAGATCTGTCTGGCATGTTAGGACCTTGAGGGACGACTGTTCCAAACAATATAGCTCGGTAGGTAAGCCCGACCACCAGGTCAATATAGCGGCCAAAGCGTGGAACATCTTCATCTCAACTGCAGAATTCAATATATTCGAGGTTGATTACCGAGTTGTTTATTAATGGCACATAACTTATCCACCTTCATTTAATTTTATAGTGAATATCGAGCCTAACTAAAGCTCGTGAAGAGCAGACTAGAGAAAATCAGGCTGGTTTTCGATCTGGACGTGGTTGTATAGACCAGATATTCACACTACGTCAGGTTCTAGAACACAGATGCACGTTCAGACGCCCCATAATCGTAGTATTTCATGACCTTAAAGCAGCATTCGACTCTTTCGATCGTAAGGTTCTATGGCAGTGTTTGTCACTGAAAGGAGTACCAAAGAAGTACATTAACCTTATAAAGGCTCTCTACTCGAACACAACTGGTAGAGTGAGAGATTATGGCGAACTGTCATCAGAATTGATTACCTCATGTGGTGTTCGTCACGGCTGCCCACTCTCTCTATTCTTGTTCAACTTTGTCGTCGACGTACTTTTAGAGATAACACTTTCCTCGTCTAAATTTCCAGGGGTTGAACTTCTACCAGAAGGTTCACTTGTTGACTTAGAATATGCTGGTGACATAGTTTTATTTGGTGAAGACGCTGACAAAATGCAGTCTTTTGACCACTCTAAGCAACAATGCAAGCATATTCGGGATGCGATTCTCCCCTTGAAATGTAAAATGTTGCTTCGGGATTGGGTTGCATTGGCACCCGAACTAATGATAGGGAGGGAAGTAATTGAGCGTATCCGTCGCTTCACTTATCTTGGAAGTCTCATTAGCCCTTGTGGTATGGTGTGTGACTAAATCTCATCACGGATACAGAAGGCTCGACTAGCTTTTGCCAACTTGCGTCATTTATGGCGTAGGCGATATATCCGTCTATCAACCAAAGGACGGGTTTACTGCGCAGCAGTTCGTTTCGTCCTACTTTATGGAAGTGAAACATGGCCGGTAAGAGTAGAGGATATTCGTAGGTTACTAGTATTTGATCATAGGTGTCTTCGAAATATTGCTCGCATATCCTGGAACTATCGAGTAAGTAATGCAGTTGTTAGGAAATGGGTACTAGGTAAGGATGGCAAATCAATTGATGACGTAGTGAAACTTCATCAGTTGAAATGGCTGGGACACGTGTTACGCATGCCTAACAACCGACTGCCTCGACGTGCCATGTTCAGTGGTATAGGAGTAGGTTGGAAGAAAGCTAGGGGCGGCCAGACCAAAACATGGCACAAGTGCATGAAGTCACTGACAAGTAGATTGAGTCATGTTGGTAGGTGTAGACTACCCGGTTGGGGACCGCGAGATGATAGCAACCGATGGTTAGAGACACTGAATGACATGGCTCAAAATCGTTTGCAATGGCGCAGGTGCATCGACTCTTTGTGTTCTCCCAAAGTTTGATTTCCTTATTCCTCCTTGTCTTTTTTTTCTCTTCCCAAATTTATTTCACTGGATTATACTCTTTAAATAACATCTTCAAACCCTAATCTTTCCGATTACTGCTTATCACCTCTACCACTACGGGATTTGAATCGACCACTGCATCTCTGTGCTAATGTGGTGTGGCAACTCGAACTGATGAACGTACGTACGAAGTTCTACGTCGTTACTGACTGATGTTCACACCCGACGAAACAAGCATACTTGATTCCACTGCTAGCCACTATTTATCTTTGCTTATAAAGCCTGTGTATTTATTTATTTAAACACATAAACATTGGTACACTGAGGCACAAGACAAACATGCACCACATAAATCATTCGATTTATATGAGGGCTGGGATACTGCCCGGGTGCTTAAACCGAAGCAAGTGGTCTCCTGGGGGCGGCACATCCCAAGCCTTTGACCTGACAGTCTAACCCACAAGGCAGTGGAGCAACTTATGAAGATGCAGTTCCATGCTAGCAGGCGACCAACAATAGGTTCATATGCTATTTGTTTCCTTAGGATCCTAGAGCCCATGTGCACCATTGGTTTGGAATCAGGGTTTTCCAACTCTCCTAGGTAGACTTTCCGTGTCCACCAACCCGGTTAAAGCGCCAGACATACGCTTTTCGTCCTCTCAATTTCGTAAACAACAGACCCTCCACGAGAAGGCAGTGAGTAGGACTTCCCTGGCAGTGGTTGTATGCACGTGGCCATGTGAGAGCATTTCGAGAGGGAGAGCTGACTTTCCCCACTCTCGGACATACCAGGGCATTTGGGGGCTTGTGACATAAGGTAAAATCGAGGAAATCTGCACAGGATGCACATATACCAACAAGGGACTGAGTCCCAGGGTGAAAATCAACTCTGGGATACAGGCACATCCAGCTAACAAGTCCAAAATAGGATGAAACACATGTCATGGATTCCACTGCTGGTCAGTATCCATCTTTGCTCATTTGTTCATAAAGTTGAATTTATCCCATAGTTTTACCGTTTCTAAGATTACGTAAAAGTTTTTGTAGTTTGAAAAAGTAAAGTGACAAGTGAATTCTAAATTTTATTTACAATAATCGAAACGCTGGGCAACAGTAGGATTTATTTTGTAAAGAACCATAAACACTTACAAACAAAGTATAATCAGAAAAGTGAGGACAATATTACTGTTGATATTTACATAAATCTTATATTTGTTCCAAAATGTTTTTATTTAGGAACAACTGTCCTGATCAATTAAATGTAGATATAAATGATACTAAAATTATATTTTAAAGTGAAATAGAAGGTAGTTTTAACTGATTATTTAATAATTCTATTTACATTAACAAATGAATCATAGCCAAATTGTAGTAGATTTTGAACACTGCTAAGAATCAGTTTGAAGGAAGTTTTCTGAATAAACTGACATCTGAAGAACCACTAATAATCGACGAGAATCAAGTAGTTGTTTCACCCTATTTTAAAACTGTTCAGAAGTGCCCATTCGTGACCCCACATGAAATCGATGTCAATATATTCCGCTTTGAGGTAAGCACAATCTTTTTAGACTACTGAACTAGGATCAAATGGTTTCCCAATTAATTTCAGTTCATAACGAAAGCTATACAGACAACCAATTGAATCGGAAGGCATATTATTAAAAGAATACGTGTATCTGTGTGCAGGATCTTAATTAAAACAGTAGACGTAATCATCATCTAGGGCTAAAAGTGCAGGTCCTTTACATACTAACCCATATTGATTGTTCCAACTTGTCCGGTGGATTATAACTGGAGGTGCACAAGATACTGATTGAGATAAACGATGTGATAATTCATAGACATTAATTACATCACCTTTATGTAAATCCCATATACCAATATGATGATTTGGTAATAAGGGACTAGCGATTGTTGTTTGTAAGACAGGATCAATAACTGGGAAAGGTGGGATGTGAGATGAGACCGACATCAAGGTAGAACCGTCTGAACCATAGTATTCAATCACTGGTTTATTAGGAAAACGATCATCCCACAATTCAATCAGACCACATCGACGACCTACAATCAGACCTAATCGGTCACCAGATGATGTGCCAAAACATTGTAAGCTAGTTACTTCTAAATTTGTATTTGTAGGAATACGTTGTGCGAGCGTAGTCCAATAACCTGTATGGTAGTTGATTAACTGAATGTTTTTATGAGGAGTTAAAGATGGTTCAACTAAGGATAGAAAGCCTTTGGAATCAGACACACCCGCCACATACATAAGAGGTTGTCGACCATTTACAGATTTGATACATTTCTTGACAGGATTAAATGATTTCCATATTGAAGCTTCACAACAAGCCGTGAAGATCACCTTATTTCTCCGTCTGGACAACTGATTATAAGTATTTGACACATAAAGGGGAATGCAATAATTGTAGTTGCTTATACATATTTCATTTCTGGTCATAATATTTACAGAGCGAGAATTGTGCAGATTACCAGTAGCTGTAGGTGTTAAATATGACGTACAGAAGCGAAAAAGGGAAGGATTAAACGGAACAGACAGTTGCGAAGTAATGCGTGATTTTCCCCTGGAAATATAAGGATTGGAAAAAAAACAGAATTATACCGTTTGTAGACATATAAACAAGTTCATCGGAAAAATGTTTTTGGAAATAGTGCCCTTCCCAAGTTGAATTATACTTTCATAAACTGGGTGACACTAATAATAACAGGTGAATAACATAATATGGAAAATTATATGGTAATTTGTCCTATCAAGTGAATTATCTATAAATAATTTTATGTTGGAGAAAATAAATTCATGACTGAATTAATACTGTATGGTCTAGGTATTAGATATATATAGTAGAATGTGGTGAAATCACAGCTTATCGGGTACTGGATCATTGCTAGTTGAGAGGTTGAAAAATGTAGATCCTAAGAGTCATGTGAGTTCACTCAACCATGAGTCTTGCAACTGGTACCTTAATTTCCTACAAATCAAGTACAGAACTGTCAGTGAGTCATCAATAATGTAAACTGGCACGAGTATGTGTTCGTCCGTACCATATTAGCACGATGACGTGAAAATAACATGAATATTAAATAAACCGAAATCACATTAGGAATATGGTTTGCAAGGATAGGCAGGAAAGGTATATATGGAAGAATACTAGAATTCAAGCTCGAGAGGAAAGTAAAAAGTGTATGCATCTGAGCCACTGTGAATGATTCTGAAAATAGGGAAATACACAGATTTTAATATATTAAATATTTAACTATCTTCTCTCCTTCAATAGTCTATCCCAACAGCCCAGTCATCTAAAAACCCATTTCTATGTTTTAAATTCACTACACATATCCTATGCTGAATCAGCAAGACTGATTTGATTAACTATAAACACTCTAATTAATGGTCATTAAGGTAGACAGATTCATGTATAACTATTCGTTTAACGCCACTAGGTGACCTTAGAGCTTGAAAAGTCCCGGTGCCTGAATCTGGAATATGATTACTAAACTTTGGCAAAGGGTTATAACGAATCTTGCGCATCGACTGAAAACTGAATGGACAAATGGTCAACATCAACATGCTCTGAATATGAACTGCGGAAACTGCCATTTAGATGTTTAAAACATGTTATTAATCTAGCAAAAAAAAGCGTTTATTTGTGAAAATTATGTGTCTAAATATTCCTACAATGTTAGTAGTCAGAACGAGACACAACACCAGTCTATGAAAACGGTGACTGCTGACCTGAGCATTTGAAGGATGCTTTACTAATAAGGTGTAGCAACTTCAGCCGATGCAAATCTATGCCAGGTTTTGTGCTGAGGTTCTGCTTGTCTCTCTAAGAAACAATAATATACACTTCGCTTTTTGATATTTGCATTAAATGTAAGAGATTAAAAAACCCTTTGTGTATATTTATTGAGAATAATTACCTGCAATTTTAAGAGTTATCAAGCAACCTCCCGATGCACTCTCAGTTAACAACGCGAGCTCCTTGCCCGGAACATACCAGGAGATATCAATAAAACGAAAGCATCCCAGTTGGGTGGGAAGTATTTTACTTGTTTCAGATAACTCGAATCTCATACTATTTTTATCGACTGATTCGCAAACACCCCAGTTGAAAGTAAACATTGTCAGGGAATTGGAACTGATTGTGTAAAGTGAATTATTATTGGAATACACCAAAGCATTACGGATCTGTCCTTTTACTGGTATCGTTTGCTTACATTTTTTGTTTATAATATAACAGTGTGGCCATGTATCTGCATAAAAGTAATATGAATGAGTTATTAAAATACCAAGGCTACATTATTTTAAAAAATGCAATAAAGAAATTACTAATGAAATAGATGCCTTTAAAAGCAAGAGGATATCATCCATAACAGATAAACTCCCCTTTGCTCTTCCTTAACAGCATTATTGAGGTGAATACTTGAGATGTAGTTTGAAGGTTTATCCACACACTAAATTAAGTACCATACTAGTCGAAGTGACGCATAATAATTCACTATAAATACTGGTCGTCAGTTGTACCACCTAAAACCACGAACTAATTAAAGGATTTTTTAGACCAGCAAATAAATCTACATTATTCCACACAGTCTAATAAAAGTTAATGATCTCACCTCTCTTGAAAATAAAAATTACACGTAACTAATTTGCAAATAAAATTATGTTAATCCAATCGTAAACAGTAAATGGAGATTTTCAGGGGCAGAAATGTAAGTCAGGCAGACGATTCTGATTATCCTACTAGTGAATAAAGAGCCTCCTTTTGGCAGTTCATACAAGTTGAAAAGTTTTACTAGCCTTTAATCAAATGTTATTTGCTTGAAATTCAACGTAGTCAAGATATTGAAGCTGGTATGTTAGCAGACATGAACAACGAAATATGTACATCGCCACAGTTAGTATTAACACAATGAGTATATCATTAAGATGAAGAAAAGATAACATAAAATATTCGGTTCGAAACGAAAGGCAAGAAGTGCTGACAACTAAATATATTATCTTAGGCACGTATTATTACGGGCTGTTCCTGTATCAACATTTAGAATTTGCAAATAGAAGGAGCCGTCCCAAACGTCCTTGTATAGTTTTCATACGAACATGAATTCTGAGCTAACTCTATTTTATTGATAGCTCACTGAATATAAAGTTGGATAATGTTGATATCAAAGTTTGATTCCTCGACAACTTATAACTTTTTATTCATGTTCTGCTATTCGCATCAAATAATTCGATGTCATGGACAGTTTCTCAAGTCAGCTTCATATCATTTCAATAACACCTATTAAAAGTGATGGGTGACTGGCACAAACATTCTCAGTATGGCTAAATGTTCTGAGAAATAAATTTATATCTTTAAAACCTGACTATTGTATTGTACTTTTTAATCAAGAGGAAAAAACCTAATACAAAAGTGTTACAATACATTAAATTGCATTTACTGACAGATAACTGTTTCTTTCTAGTCCACTTGGACTTCTAAAGTCATTAGATTACACAGACTATTCTTATTTATGGTCAATAGTTATATCACGTGGTATAATTATCACTAATGACATTAGTGATGAGACATTGAGTCTACAGTTAAATAACAACAAAAACACTCCGCTGAAGGCAGTTAAGCGGTTAAATTGCGGTTCTGCCCACAGACAAATATTTTTAAATAAATTATGTACATCATAGCAAAATGGCATTGATCATTATAGGATGAATGATAAAATGACGTACATACAGCATCAACAGAGAGTGAATTTGATGTTTCGCGACGATTCAATAATTGAAGAATGTTCAGAAATTTTCTCCTGCGGATAGAAAGCATTTGATCAACTTTACGTTGAATTTCTGAATTGGCAAAGTAGGTATCCACCACCTTTTGCGTAACAAATCCAGGTGTTCCATGATTCTCAATTTTAAAGTAACGCTTTTTCGTATGATCATAATAATAACCAGGTATATCTAATTCTTAAGAAGATAGTTACACTATAGTACCTGAGGGTTTCCACATAATATGTATCGTGGTACCGTCCCAAATGATTTGTGCGGCAAGGTCAGCTTACAGAAGTTAATTGGGTTCAAAATGGTTCAAATGGTTGTGGACGGAATAGAAGAAGCTTTCGCTTAACAGGCTTCCGTGTCTTGTAGCAGGGGATCACCAAACCCTCCAGGCAGGAACCTAGGTATGTTAACAAGAAAACAGGAAAAGAAATTAATAAATCATAGTGCAACACTATCCTTAGTCCTTGAGATTAGATCAAGTTGCCTCCTAAAGGACTCCTGGAAAGTCGCTTGGACTAGCTCTGCCGGTAGCGAATTCCAGAATTTGACGACTCATAAGGAGTTGAAGTTGTTTCTACAGTCCGTTCTGCTATGTTGTGTCTCCAGTTTTGGGTGTTACCTCTTAGGTTATTGTTGGAACTAAGCTTAAGTAGGTGTATGAGAGGATGTCCAGAAGTGTTAAGGATACTATAAGCCATCAGAAGGTCACATCTAAGACGTCTATACTCTAATGGGTAAAGGTTAAATGAGTGGAGGCGTTCTTCGTAAGGTTTGGATTTGAGTCCGCGAACTGATTTCGTGGCTCGTCGTTGGATAAGCTCCAAAGTGACCTTGTCCTTTTGGAGTGAGGGAGGAGTACTATGTTTCCGTACTCTAAATGGGGACGGATAAAACTATTGAAGGCTATATGGAAAGTTTTTCTGTCAAACTGGCCAAAAATGCGCTTCAGTGTTACCAGTGCAAGGTTGCTCGGAAGGCATTTTTGCCACAGTTAGCGTAAGACTTTAAATCGTAGGGCACCAAGACTCCTAAATCTTTTTCGACTTGGGATACTACTAGAGAGGAGTTACCTAAATTATAACTGTAGTGTGCGACATGTCGCAGATGGACCACTTTACAATTCATAATTCTGAAACTTTACAAACACGGTCGCAAAAATCCCGTAAATATTATTAAATAAACCGACAACGAATAACTGTGAAATATGTATGAAATTATCACGGCACGAGTGACAAATAGTTTTCAAAACCTGTTTTCGTGTGATTTGGTTTATCATAATTACCCAATCATACAAGGTCAGCACAACTATCGACTGGCAAAAACTATTGGAGTACACTTTTCATAGCCGAGGCTAGTGAAATACACTGACATTTGTTGTTCAGTATCTAACTATGTATTCGTGTAATAAGGTTCAAACGTTACTAATTGCATGAAAGATAGAACATTTTAGTGAGCCGTGTGGCGGCTAACTAACATTCATTCCACGCATTATGTAATAATTAGTTAGATTCAGCAACACTACATCGCAGCGAGAAATAAAGTGATATGACTGGAGTTTCAATCAGCAATTGACACCTGAAAATTTATACGAGAATTCAGATTGTGTAGAAAAATAAGAAAAAGAAATGAAATCTATATAACAAAAGACAGTTAACAATGAAAGTGTACAAGCGAGATCAGCTAACTAGACTTATTCGTAGAACTTTACCCCAAATGACTTGGAATGATCGAGGGTGGGGAAAGTCAGCTCTCCCTCTCGAAATGCTCTCACATGGCCACGTGCATACAACCACTGCCAGGGAAGTCCTACTCACTGCCTTCTCGTGGAGGGTCTGTTGTTTACGAAATTGAGAGGACGAAAAGCGTATGTCTGGCGCTTTAACCGGGTTGGTGGACACGGAAAGTCTACCTAGGAGAGTTGGAAAACCCTGATTCCAAACCAATGGTGCACATGGGCTCTAGGATCCTAAGGAAACAAATAGCATATGAACCTATTGTTGGTCGTCTGCTAGCATGGAACTGCATCTTCATAAGTTGCTCCACTGCCTTGTGGGTTAGACTGTCAGGTCAAAGGCTTGGGATGTGCCGCCCCCAGGAGACCACTTGCTTCGGTTTAAGCACCCGGGCAGTATCACAGCACTCTCACAGATCAATGATAAATAGGACTGGAAAAGTCTCTCTCTCTTCAACGCTCTCTGATACAAATTCCATCCATAATCATATGAAGACACTCGTTTTCGTTGGCGTTGGTGTCACATCAAGCGCTAAAGCTGAAGCATCCGGTCATGTGTTATTAGATTAGAAAGCTTCATCAAAATGCATGAAAACTGGTGTGAGAAACGATGTCTTTTCATCATTTTCACCTTAATTCCGACAGATTGCAACCCGTTTGACACCAGGGATTAGTTTTACTACCACTTAATTGTTCTTCTACAAAAATTACTTTCGACGGATATTGTGGTACTAGATGGAGACTTGAATGCTCAGGTCGGGCGTCTAGTCACAGAACAGAGTTGTTTAGGTGGTCAATGGACACTTGTTGGTTGGAGGTCAGATAATGGTTCCGGTCTCCTGCAAATTTGCGCAGACTACGATCTGTTTCTGATTAACACTAATTCCCGGCACAGTCAAATTGCAAATTGGTTGCAGCTTTTGTTGCAAAAAATATCAAACCGAGTTAAGTTTAAGGCCAGCTATCAACCAGCCGAAAAGTATGGATGTGCGTTGGCTGAAATCACATGACGCCATGAAGAAAGTGAGTAACTTCACTTGCGGCTTTGCACAACGTCCCGTCTACAAGCACTGGGTCACTACGGGCTTTTTACAACTCAATGAAGCACGTCGGTCTACTTCGTGCGACCGTGAGTTTGACCATAAATAAGACTTTTGCGTAATGAAGTTGTACAAAGGTTGTGTAAGTTTGTAACAGCTCAGGTTGGTTGGTTAAGAGTTGACCCCAAACAACCAAGCTTATGCCAAAACAGTATTGTTCAAGTATTCATTCACTTCCTTATTTTTCATAAGCGTTATATTCCCTATTATCTTATATTGAATGTTGAGAGCCTTTGTTTGTCTGAACAGATAATCCCACGCTCCACTGTGACTGCGCGAAGATCGAAATAAAGACCTATTCACTACTTGTCTGGTTTCTTCTATCAATAGCACGAGGGTTACTTAAGGCACGAAACTGGTGAGCCCTTTTTGAACACAAATTTAACCTCATTTCTGTTATTAACATTTTTTTTACTTAATCGTAAAAGTAGACCTGATTATCCGTAAACTAATTTGAGTATATAACTAGTTTATTCCGTATTATCTTAAGTTATTCGTGTTATAGTAACCACTTTTTGTGCTAACTTTATTGCTATATTTGTCACATACCTCATGTCAGACTCAATAGAAACCCATAATCTGGAGGATTTGTCACCAGTGGAGATAGACACTGTTATGACTACGAAATCCCGACTTCCAGAATTTGATCGTAGTGATCCTGAGTTGTGGTTTGCTCAACTAGAGCATTATTTCACGAGACACAATATCAAATCTGAAGGGATTCGCTATAGAGACTTGTGTTCTATCCTTCCTCCTTCAGTCGCCAAAGAAGTCCGTGACTTGATTTTAAGTCCACCATCACCACAACCATACACCATCTTAAGACGAGAGATAATGAACCGTTTATCATTATCAGATAGTCAAAGAATCCAAAGACTTTTTCAAGGTGAAACACTAGGTGATCGGTCGCCGTCACAGTTTTTACGTCACCTCCAAGTCTTAGTGGGTGATAACACAGTGGGTGAAGCAGTCCTAAAACAAGGATGGATACAAGCTCTCCCATGCTACGTCCAACACTGTTTGGATGCACAGGATCCTGAAACCTCATTATCTCATTTAGCGCGTATAGCCGACAGAATAATGGAAAGAGGTCCTCCAACTGGATCAGGCACAATAAATCACACACAAAAAGTAGAATCAGCAAAAGACCCCGTAATAGAAGGACTCATTGCGAGTGTTAAGAGTCTCACTGAGGCTGTCACCAGAATGCAAATGGGTCATAGAAACAGGAGCAGGTCACCACAACGACCACGATCCAAGTCACAAAACAGGTCACAAATGTCCAGACAATCTGGGCAGTTTTGTTGGTACCACTGGAAGTTTGGTGTCAACTCAACCAAGTGCATGCAACCATGCGCCTGGCCTAAGCATAATTCTAAGACAGCGGGAAACGAGTAACCCCTCCCCAGGTCGCGACGACTGAGGAGGGGCGCCTAAACAGTCGCTTGTTTTATGTTAGAGACAGAAACTCTGGCTTGAATTTCTTGGTGGATACTGGCGCTGCTCTTAGCATCATCCCTCAAAATAAAACTGAGATTAGTCGAGAAACATCATCAATTACACTTCAAGCTGCAAATAAAACTAAAATTGCGACATTTGGGCAGAAAACTTTAACCCTAGATTTGGGGTTCAGGAGGCAATTCCCTTGGGTTTTCACGGTAGCCGACTTAGATCTGGCAATACTGGGGATGGACTTTCTAGAGAGATACGAATTTCTAGTTGACACCAAGAAACGGCGATTAACACTAAAAGAAACTTCGTATTACACAAAAGGCAAAGAAAGTCACATCAGCTCTCTTAACTTGATTCAAACTCCCCAGTAACAACAGCGAAATTCCAAGATATACTCGCGGAATTTCCAAACTTAACTAAACCAAACCCACAGCCTTCTAAAGACAAACTAAAAGTGAGTCACACTATCAAAACCGAAGGTGCACCGGTGTTTGCAAAACCCAGGAGACTAGCACCAGATAAGCTCAAAATCGCTAGGGCCGAGTTTGATTATATGCTACAATTGGGTATTATCCGTCCCTCTGATAGTCAATGGGCATCCCCTTTGCATATGGTCCCAAAGAAGAATGAAGGTGACTGGCGACCGTGCGGGGATTACAGAGCCCTAAACCGTCAAACCGTACCAGATAGGTACCCAATACCTCATATCCAAGATTTCACCAACGGTTTACAGGGTATGAACATATTCACTAAAATTGACTTAGTCAGGGCATATCACAATATCCCGGTGGCTGATGAAGATATTCCCAAGACAGCTATTACTACACCCTTTGGCTTATTCGAGTTTGTACGCATGCCATTCGGCCTGAGAAATGCGGCACAGACATTTCAAAGATTCATAGATAACCTACTTCGAGATATGCCATTTGCGCAGGGGTATATAGA